ACCCCCTTCGAATTAATTTTATGTCATAATTCCCAAACGCTTGTGCACAATATCCTAGTACACCATTGACATTATGAGCTATAGTACACACCTAGACCATAGTTCAGCTTTAAAATATTCCTTAGATATTCTGATACATATCTCATTGTAAGAAACCGTATATCCTTATATATCCCAAAACTTAGGAAACCAAATAGTCTCTAAATATTCCTAAGATATTCCAAATATTCTGAATACCTCATCTTAGGAAGCCAAATATTTTCAAACCCCAAGGGAGGTAGGTCAATATTTTAGAACCTCCCAATTGTCTCACAAACAATATTCAACCCATCTTTGAAAAAAATCAATATCGTCTGATCGATGAGCAGGTTAGCACCAAGCTTGTAGAGAATTTTAGGGAAGAAATAAAGGCACCAATGACCTCACAGCTCCACTTTGTCGGAGCTACCTTGTGATGCTTGCCGGTAATTTCAGGATGGTGTTTCATTTGCCATGATGTGATCACAATAGGATATATCTTGATCAGACTTTAAAGGTAAAGAATAAAGGGAGAAGAGTGCCACTCTGTGGAGGCAATGAAAAGATTTAGGTATAAGGTGCCCACAACAACTTCAGCCTCACCATATGTGAAGATTAACATGGTTGAAGATTGTGTGACATCATAGAGAACGGGAGAGGATCTTCGCGGCCTGGAAATCCCATATCTACTCTTGCTCCTAAGGTTTCCCTAATTAAGGCCACCTTGTAGGAGTACCTTATCTGTGTTACTGATACAATAAGGTTCCTCTGGTTTGTTTACTTTTTCTTTTAGGAGACCGAGATCATGTGATCTTTTATTTACTTAAGGGTATTTGTGTCTTTTTCAGTTGTAGAGAGAGGGGCAGAGTTCGAAGTTTAATTTTAAATAGTTTAATTTTAAATAGAAAAGGCGAGGATTTAGTTGTGGTTTAGGGTTTTTTACAAATACGCCCTTGTTAGACAAGTAAAAAAAAGAAAGCAAAGAAAAAAAGACATTGATTTTAAGACTTGCGCATTGATCTTTTTGGGTAGACTCCCTTGTAGACCCAGAGAGATAGTACAATCTCTCACGAACAATTTTCTCATTTTCAGATTTATTTTATTTTTCTTTCTCCTTCACAGCATCAGTAACCAAGTCCTTGATGGGATGGAAAAGAAGATTAAAATAATTTAAGAGGAATGTCCTACGGAGGGGTAACAGTGTGGCGCACAAATTTAGCATTATAGAATGGAATGACTGCAGACTAAAGGGGGTAGGGAAGTCTGGCATTTGGAGGATTAAGAATGTGAAAAAGCTCTTAAAGTAGGGAAATCAGATATTTGACGAGGAAACTGGACTCTCATATGGTAGTCCTTAAGGCTAAGTATGGCCAAGGTTAAGTATGGCCATCGTCCTTGTTTACAATGTTTAGGAATCAGGCATGGGCTTGATTGATTATAGGTGTTGATGATCTAACATTATATCCCAATTTCTACTCCTACATTTGAAATACCCAAAAAAAACAAAGGAAAAAAAAGAAGGTTACTGCCACAACTGGAATCTTTAGGAGAAGGAGATTATGGAATTCTTAGCTGATTGATGGGTCCACTCAGGAGGATTTCATGGAACGGAAACGAGAGACACCTTACAGTTTCAACAAAACTTTATTGCATTGAAACTTCTAGAATAGGATCTAAAGTAATTTTGCAGGTTCCTTTGGTTTATTCTATCGGACGTCAACAGCTGTGGTTGTTCTATGCGGCTGACTATTAGTTGACTGCTCTTTTCTTGGAGACATCAAAATTTGAAGATTTATGCACTTGCACACTTTTGGAAACTAATGCAACAAATAACACAATTTTTTAAGGCTATTATTATCATAGTATTGAGGAACTTTCAGGTATAAAATGCATCACAGTTTTCTTCACTTCTTTGACATTAAGTGGGAAACATTCTTGGAATACAGGAGGAAGACTCGGTTTTGAAACTGGAGATCAGTATCACCAACGAAAATCTTGAGACTAAGCCCAAGGTTCAGTGGAGAATAAGGTCCTCTGAAACTTACCGTGGTTGGTAAGTTTAATGGTTGCTGTGGTCCTTCTAGAATAGGTGGCATCACCATTGATATTGCAACTTGCACGTCACAATGAGAAGCTCTTTTCTGAGCAACTTAAACTTACAACTAAAAGAAAGACTCGTACTTTCTGGATCCAAGAGTATTCTACTAGTATAAAGCTCTAATGATGGAACATGAATCTCACCACATGTGATCAGAGGAGAAAAACAAGAATCAGCAATGCCATGAAGGAGAGGCGATTTTCTTGAATAGATCCTTGAGATATGCAACATGCTGCCTCTGTTTTTTGTTATTTTAAATGTGTCACACACTGGGCATCTCCTTGAGACCTGGAAAATGTCATTTAAGGATGCCAACAACGTCCATTCCTTCAAAAGGGCGGGAGGTTTACGGAAGAGCTCACCATTAGGAACATAACACATCCCCTTGACACTTAATTTCTCGTGGAAATATATTTGTTGTCTCAATTGTATCTATTTCAAGCCGAATACCGCAGAATGCATGCACTTTCTTGAGGACTGAAGATATAAAGTAATAACCAAAAAATAAATGAGTTGCACATTTTATCATATCACAGCATAATCCAAAAATATATAAATTGTGATGTGTATGGCAATCATAATGCCATAAAATGAGGCATATGTGTGAGTTTATATCATTTATATATCATAATATTTTTTTGATTGGTATAATGTAAATGTTGATATACCAAAATAATCTGATAATGGAATTCCCAATATGTGAGCCAAGATAATCAATCAGGGAAAAGAAAATCAGGTGATTTGGTCCACGAATGAACAAATGGACTAACCCATAACTTGACCTAGACAAACTAGTTATGCTGTTTCAGCAAGCCAGCGTCCCGAATCCCACAAACAAGATATGCAGACTTAATATCAAGATAAGGGTTCTCTACAATAACATCAATATAATATAAGCATTTAGCACAAAGCCTAAGCATTTTGCGCAAAGGCTAACCAATCCATCCATATTACATGACCATAGATCCGTGCATAATACATGGCAAAGTTAGGGGTAAAAAAAGAAAGTTGAAAAGACTGCACCAAATGAATGGAATATAGAAGAGGCAATACCAAACTTGCACTCGATTCCGACTTCTTCGAAACTCGAGAGTACAATTTCCACGTTGAACTCTATCCGAGTAAACCCATCATCATGTACTCTCTCTCTCTCTCTCTCTC